TCCCTCCCCAGGGGGAGGTTTTAGGAGCTCACAGCCTGCCCCACGCGAGCCCACGGATCCCCTCCGCAGCCTCGTCAGGATGGGGGAGTCTCTGCTCAGCGGGGGGAGAGGCGGGCAGTGCCCCCGTCCCCGGCTGGCGGCCGAGGGCAGGCTGTACCTGTAATAGTCCTCCTTGCAGTAGATGCTGCCGTCCTTGCTGAAGCAGGTGAGCTCGGACTCCAGGTTGAGTTTACATTCACAGCACTTCAGGCAGCGCATGTGCCACTGCTTGTCCACAGCCAGGAGGTAATAACGGTCGGAGATTTTACCCCCGCAGCCGGCGCACAGGGCAGCCCTGTCACTGCTGATGGAAGGCATGGTCTGCTGGGGGAAAACAATTACAGACCGTTAGCGAGGGAGAAACTCTTGAGCACGGCTGGGCTCCCCCCTCCCCCTGCCCGGCCGGGGCCGGGCTGCTGCTTTCCTGGCAGAGGAGCGGGCGCTCCGAGCCGCCACCCGGATCGGCCCCCGCGCCCGGTCCCCAGGGTCCCGGCGCATCCCACCTTCCCAGGAGGAGGCGGGGAAGCGAGCGAGACAAACAGAAAAACACCCTGGCTTTTAGAAGAGGCTTTCAGGCCAGACCCAGAACTTTTTTTTTTCTGGTGGATTTTCCAGTCTCGAACCAAGAAAAGATGCTGTTCAATAAACACGCGCAATAATAACAGAGTAGGGCAAATCGCAGATAGTTCATTTGAAAATTTATTACTATGGATGTACTGAGAATGCCTGCATAGTTAATGCTCTGTGAGTGCATATATGTGGAGCGTGTCTCTGTGTGGATTTTCCCAGCTATAAAATTCCAAATGAATTACGATCAAACCCCCAATAGTCACAGTGCTGCAGACACAGCTCTCTGCAAGCTGGTTCCAAACAACACGGATCGCGATCTGCTGTGACCCAAAGCGCTAAAGGGATCAGTAAATAAAGCTGCGGAGGAGATGAGCGTTACTAAACTAAATCCGAGGTGCAGAATGTTTTATCGGGAAAACGAAATAGTGGGAAATGTGTAGGAATAAGAGTGGGTAAAAAACAACAAAGCACGTTAGATTATGCTGGGATAAACTTGGATGCAATAAAACTAAATATAAGCCCTATATAATTTAATAGTTTAGTGTCAAATCACAATCCAATCGAAACCTCCGAAAAACCCCGAATTCATACATATCCTGTCAACTTCTACCGAACAAGAAAGAGGGAGAAATATCGGAACCTTTTAAGCATGCTTATTTATTTCAGCAGACACCTTAAAACAGCATTCGGGAGAGGAGGCTCGGTGGAGCAGCGTCTGGGGCAGACCTTGCAATATGCTGCTTTCCACTTCGGTCCCAACTTACTCTTACCCGCTTTGCACAAAAGCCCGCGGAGGATCTGTTCTCGTGCACGGGAACCCGAAACATTTCCTTACAGCTGTGCCCAACACGCAGTTTGTTTTGGTTCGGGGCGGGGGAGAAGTTGTTTGTTTGCTTTTACCTCCTCTAGAGCCTTAAATCCTCGCGCAAAGCAAAAGCAAAGACAGCTAATCGGAGGAAATCGAAAGGAACCGAGGCTGATTTTCCAGCACATGCCAAACCCATTGCTTTCATTCTGTGCTTGCGGGGACCACAAATTCCCATCTCTGTGAGCACTCCCGTTTGCACCGCATCATTCCCACTAGGAGAACTCCACACAAACAAAACCCTGGCACTCCACTGGTGCTAGTCACAGGAACCCACCGGTAGCTTGTTTCTTTAAGGCATTAACTGAACTCCGAGTCGGGATCGTTTTATAACAGAAGTCGTTTCTTGTAAATCCACTTTAAATAAAATAACGATTTTTTTTCTACTTTGCTTTTCCAGTAAAAATATTCTGAGACCTAAAAATGGTATTCAAGGGTCCAGTATTCCAAGCCACTATTTGTTATATACACACGTGTTTCCATATAGACAATATATAGTTATATAAAACTATCACGCCACTATATTTATTCCAGCATAGGTCATTGGATGTTGTTTAACTGTAACGGAGAAATATTCACTTTTTAAAAGAAAACCAAAACCATTTATATTAGAAATCGCATCCTACCCTTATAGTACAAAGGCCGTTTTCCAGCCGGTGTTTCAAGATTAAATAGACTCACTGTCATCTTTAAGCAAATTTCACATAACATTATAAGAAAGAACACGTACTGATGAAGTTTGAAAACCTGAGAACGGATCGTCCTTGCACATGCCTGTATCAGTTTACAAGACAGCATTTAACCAACGTATGAGGTAATTTCACTTCAGAATTGTAATTTTGTAACAAAAAAAAAAGTATACAGAAATTGTTCAATCACTTAAGACACTTGGGAAATTTCTTCCACTTTGCCAGCTTAATTCTAGTTAGACGGATGCATCTTTTTATTATCTAAGTGTATTAATATACAAGGACTACGCATCAGCAGACAAGATAAAATGTGGTAAAGTTATAAAAATTCGTATCCATCCGTCTCCCTGAGGCATATCTTCTAGTTCTGCTTGCCATGTTTACAAACTTACATATTTTAATTATTTTTTAAACCCCACAACTTAAAGACACTCGTGTTTGGTTTTTTTCTTCTTAAATAAATGCTATAAAGACTATCTCCAGGAAGGCATCCTACCTGAAAAATAACACAGAATTGGATTCTTTGGTGTTTGTGCTTCCATTCTGCAGACAAAAAAAATCACTGTGCCAAAACGTTATCGGTATAAAACCACACTTTGCCTCTTCCTAAAAACTTTGGAAGGCCGGACAGGCTGGGGGAAGGGAAGGAGTTCTTGGACGCTACCAAAAGGCTGGTCTATCTGTTTTCTCACTAGAGCAGTACCGTTCATTTCACCCAAGCGTTACTATTACTATGCATATTATTAATAATTAACAGTTTCATGCCTTTCCCCACGGTTTCATTTAATCTTTTGGGGTGCCTTTATGCTTAATTTTCTTCTGATTTAGTATTTCGCAAACGTTTCCCCCCGATCTGTTATTTTAGGGGAAAAGCTGTATCTGTGAGGGGTTTGGTATGTTTAGGGGGGTGCATGACTCTCCCATTCCTTCGGCTCCTACCGTTTCCGTCTCTCCCCTGTCTATAGCCGAGCTGATGGCCGGTGCTTCGCTTTTGGTTCTCCGATCCATCTCGTCGATGACCCCGTGCATCTCCGAGCCGGAAAGACTGTGGAAAAGCATCGCTGAGGAAGCAGAGGAGGAGGGCCCGCGTTGCTGTTGCTGTTGACAGTTGTCGGGGTCCCTGCAGGAGCCCAGAACTTGCATTAACCGGAGCCCTCCCCCATGCATCTAGCACGGCCGCCCCGTCTCTCCTTGGGCACCGGGTTTTTCCCCCGGCAGAGCTCTTCGGAGCGCGGCGCAGGCAGTGATCCGAGGTTTCAAGGGACGGGGTGCAGAAAAGGCGGGCGGAGGGGATGCGGGAGAGGGGATAACTGGTGGTGTAAGCTTCGGGGCTTGGATCTAGTCTGTTGCGCGGCCCCGGCACATCTCTCTAGGAGGCTTCTTCAGTGTAGGGCTCATTGCCCCAGGTGCAGTCCCAGGCTTTATGCTCTGGCCCAGCTGGCAGAAGGCTGGGCACGCTTACGGTTGGGAGGGATTAATAAATAGTAGAAATAAAAAAAAAAAAATTAAACCATCTTCGGTGAGAAATAAATAAGAATTAGAAAAAAAATTACGACAAGCCCCTTACATCGTACTGTGCGAAATTTAGAGGAGGAAAGCAAGGGAGAGGGAGGCTGCAGCAGGCGGTGAGCAGGCTGGTGCTGCAGGGCTGCTGGGACGGATGCCCACCGTACGCACTCACAGTCCAGAGGGCTGGCAGCAGCGGCAGCTCAGGGGCAAAGTTTGCTCCTTCCCCCGCTCCTCCCCCAGCCCGCTGGAGCTCATTGGGAAAAGAAAAAGCCAAGGGGAAGGAGGAAGAGTTGGACGGGCACCAGATGGGACGGGCACTCGCGGCCCCCCTCTGTCCTTAAAGCGGCGCGGCCCGCGGGGCCCGGGGAGGGAGCGCAGCCGGAGCCGGAGCC